TTCGACATCCGTCTTTTATCTCTGTCCAAGATGACTGACCTTTAAAAGGTCAGACCGCTGTAGTTCTAAGGGTGACGTCACATCACAATGTTTACCAACAAAGCAAGATGACATCGATAACGCCAAAAAAGATTACTTCTGTGGCTTGTTTTTGTTCGTTTTAAAACAAACACGAGCAGGTCAATCAGATTAGGCAGTAAAAAATGTACTTCTGAAAGAATTCAGAGTAAACAAACAGAAAAAACGTCAAATTGATGGTCACACGTGTGTTGTTTACATCGAAAGTAGTAATATGAACTGGTACGGGCAGAATTATATCGTTTTACCCATTTTACGCCTCCGCGTACTATTTTCTGTACCTATTTACGCTAAATATGGAATATTTTTTTATCAAGATATACTTCAAACACCTTTATTTATTTTTCTAATACTAAAAAAAAATGTTTCAGAATTTAATTTGTCGAAAGAAAAAAGTTAATATTTTGTAGTCATTAAGTCGCATCGATGTCATCCTTATCAGTGATTGTAGCGGCCAAGCGAATATTCACTGCGGATAGATAGTGTAAAGGTAATTTGCTGAAATTTTCAGTCAAATTGATCCACTATGAGCCGAAAAAGAAGCGGGTGAAATTTTTGCATAGTCTTGGTCATCATTACTAAAATCATTAATATGAACAGCATAGTCTCGATTATCCACTTTTATTGATTTAATTATCACTGGCCGTTAGCGGCATATAGGAATCTAATCCAGCCAACATCGAAGGCTAGCCTTGGCATCGAGAGTTTATTATGGTCTGGAAAAGTTAATTAATGTCTAATTGATAATTTAGATAACATTTCAGGCCTAAAGAAAGACTTATAATAAGCAGATTTTGCTCTTGCATAATGCATGTTTAAATTAGTAATTGTGTTTAATTAAAGCGACGTTACATTTGATTGATAACGATGAGATGGCCCTTATCGTATTTATTATGTATATCGTGTTTATTAAAGATACATTATGGGAGATTTTTATAAGGAGTTAGCCATTCTTGCTATAACAGTTCAAAAATAGATCAGGAAAGAAGAATATATTGAAAATTTCAGTCAAACTACTTTATTCTGAACATATTTATCACCAGTGTAATTTTTGACTAGCAATGGGATTGAATTCCATCTTCACTGATTCTTAGTATGGCCCATCGTTTGATTGACAGGCGTTAACTCCACCTACATAATCTCTGCTGTCTTTTGTCTGCTGTCATCATATCCGAATTTGTGTTTTACCTTTTTGGATTTTTATAACAATTGGAAAAATGAGTGAGAGGGTAAATTTTCATTCTTACTTGTATTTTGGGCATACATTAAATCAATTGAATACAGGACATAATATTATAATCCAATTATGATAAATCTATAGGTATACACCAGTGGCGTCGTGCCTATTGGGGAATTAAAAATATTTTTATTGATATTATTAAGACAGAAAACCTGTCCGTCTGTATTAGTCAGCACACGGTCTCCAGGAATTGTATAATTTGTCATTATCTGTGTTTAGTTTATTGCACTTTAAATAGTTTAAATGTCAACGTAACGCTCACGACGCCATTTAAAATTAAATCAGTCAACGAAATATCGTTTAAATCCAAGCTGAATCCAAGCCATCCGTGGGTCTACAGAGTTGATGTTGTGCTTGTTGTGTAAATAAAGATCTAATTTATAATTTCTATGACATCTGAAGCCTAAATAAAGACTTGCAATAATCAGATTTAGCTCTTGCATAATGTATGTTTAAGTATATCAATTGCTAAATGTTACTCAATGAAGTAATTTATACATTAGTCAGCAATTTTCTTAAAATTGATAGTTGCCTAAATAGAATAATACAAGTCACGCCTAAAATCCAAAACACAGAGTTAACTAGGAACTACAAGATCGGGCACAGAGGCTGACCGGTCATGAGAGAAAATGCCAATACATATTCTTATGTTAAAGATACATTATGGGAGATATTTATAGAGAGTTGGCCATTCTTGCTATAACAGTTCAAAAGTAGATGATGAAAGAAGAATATATTGAAAAATTCAGTCAAATTACTTTATTCTGAACATAGTTATCATCGTTGTAATATTTGCCTAGAAATAGTAGCGAAATGTGTCTTCACCTTCGCCGAACGTTTGATTGACAGGCGTTAACTCCACCTACATATCTCGATTATCAAGTAAAGTTTTCAATGGCATACGGAAACGCTTTACAGCGGCCTCGCTAAATGTCAACGTAACGCTCACGACGCCATTTAAAATTAAATCAGTCAACGAAATATCGTTTAAATCCAAGCTGAATCCAAGCCATCCGTGGGTCTACAGAGTTGATGTTGTGCTTGTTGTGTAAATAAAGATCTAATTTATAATTTCTATGACATCTGAAGCCTAAATAAAGACTTGCAATAATCAGATTTAGCTCTTGCATAATGTATGTTTAAGTATATCAATTGCTAAATGTTACTCAATGAAGTAATTTATACATTAGTCAGCAATTTTCTTAAAATTGATAGTTGCCTAAATAGAATAATACAAGTCACGCCTAAAATCCAAAACACAGAGTTAACTAGGAACTACAAGATCGGGCACAGAGGCTGACCGGTCATGAGAGAAAATGCCAATACATATTCTTATGTTAAAGATACATTATGGGAGATATTTATAGAGAGTTGGCCATTCTTGCTATAACAGTTCAAAAGTAGATGATGAAAGAAGAATATATTGAAAAATTCAGTCAAATTACTTTATTCTGAACATAGTTATCATCGTTGTAATATTTGCCTAGAAATAGTAGCGAAATGTGTCTTCACCTTCGCCGAACGTTTGATTGACAGGCGTTAACTCCACCTACATATCTCGATTATCAAGTAAAGTTTTCAATGGCATACGGAAACGCTTTACAGCGGCCTCGCTAAGTACACTCTATCATTTAGCCTCGATCTAACTGACGTATTTTCATCAGGTTACCCCTTATCTGATTTAATCAATTAGTGAAATCCTATTTAAATCTGAGTTGTAGCCGAGCCATCCGTGGGTCTACAGAGTTGATTTTGGTCTTGTTGTTTAAATAAAGATCTAATTGATAATTTCTATAACATCTGAAGCCTAAATTAAGACTTGCAATAATCAGATTTAGCTCTTGCATAATGCATGTTTAAATACTGGAGTGTATCCCATGTTTTTCGAAAAAAGTCCAAGGTTCCGCCACTAATACTGTAATGTTGTTTAATGTTCTACGTTTGTGCTCCCCCCGTCTTCATTAGCCCAGTCGGAGCAGAACAGTAAGACGTTAACACCATTTCTTTTCAATTCGTTTCTGCTCCGACTGGGCTAATGAAGACGGGGCTCCGCTAATAAGAGTACGATCAACATGAAAATTGGTATGTTTTTGGACAATAATTGCGCATATTTGTTGCCACACGTGACACCATAAACGCCACCAGATAATTTAATACGGCGTTCCCGATCTCCATAAATCCAAGTTTTTTGAGTGAATGGGTCATATTTATGCACTTATTGAAGATTGCCGTTAAAGATGCATTATTCAAGAGTTAAATTTGTTTATTTGTAGGTTTTTCTTTGGGCCTTAAATGTTATATAAATTATTAATCTGATATTATTAACTTGCCAAGGTCATAATCAACTATCGATGCCCTAGATTATCAACAGATTTGTATACGATTGGCATTTAATGATTTAATTTAAGAATGGATAATCGAGACTTTGCTTATTATCGTAGCAACGGTCGCGATAACAACCATGGGTATACTGTTCTGCAATCGATGATAACTCCGTTCAGCATGAAGGGATTTGACTGAAATTTTGAACATATTCCCTTTTTCATTATCTATTTTTAAACTATTATAGCGATAACGGTCAGCTCTTTATCTAATCTTCCATAATGTATCTTTAAATAAGAACCGTAACGTCATGAATACGAGTGACACTATCTTTCTTAATATAAAGTAATTCGACTAGCTGTTATCATCATCTTTCTAAAGTCAGACATACATCCCTTTTAATTACAGTGTCTTTTCCACAGTTTTTTTTCTTATCCTCCCCCATCTTTCTATGTGATATAACTATAAATCATGGTCTATATCCCAATGACCTTTACTGCCATTAGTTGGATTTCTAATTACACCATTAAAATAATAATAAATATAATCGTTATTGAAAGTTATTACAGAAGGCTTTTAACTAACTTCCGATTACGACGACACCGTGAAACAGATACCAAAATTGTTTAAAGTGGATGGGGTCACTGCACTGATCAAGGATATATAACGGAAACTGCTGAAAGTCAATGGGATTCTTCGTTTCACTAATTCAAATGATGCATATAAATTTTATACCGATCGGATGATAACGTTCACAGTGTGCAACGAAGTGAAACAAGGGCCATAATTCTATAAGAAGTACAACATCCAACGCTCAGGTACAATTGACCAGTTCGCACGTGATTACACGGCAGACATGGGGCACTTTCATAAACAGCAGTGGTTTGATGAGAGAATGGGGTAGATTATTGACACGTGGTTACATATTTCTGACCTAAGTTCTGTAATTCATGAAAGTCTGTAAGAGTAAGTGCCACAAGACCCCACCAGAAATGAAACCAACAATACAAGCACATGGTCATTGCAAGCTTCTCCGTTAGGCTTCTTCGTTTCATTAATTTAAATGATGCACATAAATTTCATACGGATCGGATGATAAATGTTGTCGCCGGACCGTTCACAAGGTGCAAGGAAGTGGAACAAGGGCATATAAAAATCCAGGAATACAGGCGCTATGAGGTAAAGTCTTCTACGAGACAGAATCAATCGTTCAATAATTACTTATTTAATATACTTAGGATATATTGGCAATTTGAATCCATAATTTGTTTTTACCAGGCAATTATAAACAGGGAAATCAGTTGCAAATGGCATATTTTGAAAGGAGATTCGTATTATAAGGTTAAAAATGAATACAAACCTATGAACGATATTTTTCTTCTGTAAATAACCTAAAGCCATTCCTATCTCACATATATACAGTCTAACCTGCTCTTCCGAGAACAGTATATCTTGCTGCATGTGGTATCTTAGGTCTCCGCCGAGCAACAAATCAACCACAACAAACATGTCTTCCTCGTCCTGGAACGTGAACCACAGATTGACGAGAAACGGGTGATCCAGGGTTTTCATTATCTCCACCTCCCTCATAACGTTATGAATGGCGTCTTTTTTCACACACATTTGTTTATTCATGTACTTCATGGCGAACATTTTCTTAGTGTCTTTCTTCTGTACTATACACACCTGAAAACGAAGAAATTCAGAAATTTTTATCGGGAATATGTTAAATGTTGGCGTAAGACAATGGTGTCCATACAATGCGTCACTTTTTTTCACACACGAATTCAGATGCGCCATACTCTTGTACCCCTGTCAATTTCTTGTAAAGCAATAGATTTTTTTTTAGAAATGGGGTTTAACGTCCACTCGATTGTAAACCAATATTTTTAACTGAAAGCAAATTCGTGTGAAAGCAGATTATATTTGCTAAAATCGGTAAAACTAAAACTGCCTTAATATCAAAGGGATGTAATGCGCCCCTTCTAACCATCAAATGCGCTACGATTGGCGCATGCGCCGGAAGTTGACCCTCCCTGGTGTAAGAGATAAGGAAGAGTTACAATTTGTAAACACGCTTTTTAAACATAGCTCTGAATATTAGAAAAATGAGCGTATATAGCGATGCGAATAAACTCGATTTAAACGCATGCCAGGTCCTCTGATGTGAGCTTCCAAAATAAACAAGAAGTGATACTGAGTTAGCTAAATTTGAGGGTCAATCAATTACAGGGTTCTGGCCCAAATTAAGATGTGTTCTTTGATATGGGATATTTCAGTTTTTATTATAGCAATCATGCCAATTACTTAAAGTAGCTAAGTCTCTAACTCATTATCATCCAAAATCTTCAACATTGAAAACACGATTTATTTGTCAAATTAAATCAACATTCATGTTGTGATCTTACCGGAAAAAGATGGGCTTTTGATATCCAATATTTAAGACAAAATAAACATTTTACCATTGGTACACGAATCGTGTACCGTAATGCGCTTCAGCCCCAGTTGTATCAAGAGACTCGAGGGACGAGGCTAAACACATTGCACCAAATCAAACGGCGTATGTAGACTGGAATAACCAGTCGCTAGAAATTTGCACTCGCTTGAGACTACTGGCTTATTTTGCCGAACATAATTGATTTGAAATTGGATTAAAAACGGAAACCATTGAATGTAAATCAGTTTATATACATTCATATTACAGTATTATATGCGTTGCGACCCACTTTTGTCAATTTCTAGGTCCCAAATGTTAGCGATTTAGCTCCTTTAAAGGAAAATATTTCCGGCTTCTTGGTGATAATTATAACTTAGTTCACATATTCCGGAAGGGATAACATCCACAAGAGAAATATGTATAAATGATTTTACAGTGAAGTTGAAATCAATTTATTTTGTTCTCTAGTTCAGTAGAAGCAGAAACAATTTTGACCAGTTTATTCCTGTATGCGGGGATTTCCCAGCGTAGTTTCCCCTTACTAGTCGTTGGGATGACACGAAAACCCGGGATTCCCGTGTATAAATCGGCGTATAAACCATTAGTTGGTTGGGATGGTCTACGGGTCTAGAGTGCCGAGCTTTGAGCTTTTTCTGGCTGGTCACCTCTGGCTTGCCGTCGTGGTTTCGATCCCTAGTGTGAGGGTATGTTGCTTGGAGGTTGGTTACATCTTCTCAACCTCGTGGGTTCTATTCGGGTACTCCGGTTTCCTGCCACAGAAGAGACCCTACACGTGCGCTAAGATCATAAAAATAAGAATTGTCTGCGATATCACCCTCGGTGGTAGCGGACGTTAAACATAAACTTTCGCAGTTGGAATTGACACTCTATCTTCATTAACCCAGCGGGTGCATAAAAGTGGGGTGTTAAACTCCATTCACTTCACTTCCTTTCTCGACCAACACCGGAATCTAATACGAGACGTACACGCGCTACATAAAACAAGAACGATCGTACTATCTGCACCAGGAACCGAGCATAACGTCATCCCCAGCATCTTGAAATCGATGAGCATTGGTCCAAAGAACAAGCATACCAAGTTTCATGTGGATTATACTTGGATTTGCGGAGGTTTAGGCTTTCTTCGAAGAACGTCGCCCAAAACAGAGAGTAATGTCCACCTGACACAAACTAGGTGTCTTTAGCAGTGTTGGGAAACCGGAGGACCAGAAGAAAACCCACGAGGTTGGACAGGCGACCCTACTCCTTATTGGGAAATCGAAACCAGGCCACATGACCCACTGACAGACCTTATCATCTAAAGGGCGCACGTTAAACCATTTGGCCACGCAACCCCTCGCCCCAAGAACAGGAAGATAGGTAGCGCGTGGTCCGAAAACCAAAAGTTCCACTGTAAGCTAACAGAGCTACACGATGCTACCAAACACATGTCATTAGTAACCCTGGTTTGTGGTCCGTCTCTTCCCATATTTTTTTTCTGTCGTGGTTGCCTAATAACACGCAATCTTCCAAATGTCAATGACATCTTTTCCTGTTACGGCCTAGTAAGGCGTTAAACCCCGTTCACTTCACTTCCTCCGTGCATGTTTGGCAATAAGGGTTGATATTACGGTTATCTCATATATCATTTCGATGAAATTAAATTTGTCATTTTCTTCTCGGATTTTGAACTACATCATTAGAAATATTCACAGCAACCCTGTGTAAATAATTATTTCATATCGATCTGCGTACGTCATTAAACAAATAATTACCTGTAATTCTCACTAACATGTAAATAAACTGAGCTAGATTAACGGCCATATTAACTCATAGGTTATAGCAAATATTCACAAACGTTTGTCAATACAATATAATCTCCTAAATAAATATACTGGCATGCATTAGATAAGATTTTTTAATAAGCACAGCCATTGATTTGAAGAACTTGTTTTGTTGGGAAATCTTTCGAATATCAATGACCAGGGTTACTTAAGTAAGGCATAAATCTGTGAACGATCAACCCATTCAGAAGGTAAAGTCTCATTGCCTCCTTTTAGTACAATATGAATATTGTGAAAGATCAATCTCTTATAGGAATATCGGTCGAAAACTGGTTCAATTCCATTCAGAATTTACAAAGATCTGTTGAATTTAAGTGTCATCAATTTATGCTGCTCGCTATGTAATAAGCCCGTAGCCATTTTATTGTGGGCGAACAGAAATGAGAAGCCTATTTTAAATCCGATTGAATCCAAGCCCGGGCGTTATTTTGGTATTTTGATTTCGTTTTCTTTCTTAAATATTAAATAATCAATCTGGGTACATATTAAATTCGATTAAGCCGTGAGAAATTTGATATTATAGCGAAATACAAATGATGTATTTTTAAACGAATAATAAAATCGCCTATCGGTGTTTACGTTCTACAATCCTATCAATAATTTCTCTTTTGTTTGAATCTGTTTTAGGAGAAATCTATACGTTTTGCCTTTTAACATATCCCTCACCATCAATAACATGTAACACAACACAGTTTTATGGATAACAATTACTATATTATATACACACGACTCTTCGACAAGGTTGATAACGACCAACTGATTCCTCAATCCTAGCAAATGTGTTGAAAATTAAATCAGATCAAAAAAACGTCCAAAAATGTTCTAAAAGTGCCCAAACATGTTCTAAATCTGTCTTTTTGAGTTATCCGCGCCATGCCCCACTCAGACCCAGCAGCTGTTATAATACCATCTTAATAGTTCGTATCACCTATTCTACCGGGTTCAAGTCCCGTACCACTGGGTTCAAATACGTTTATTTTAAAACATGTATATATGTGCCTTTTTTTAAATTCATCCGTTTGTATTAGACAAACGAAATGCCCAAAAGTATCATTCTCACGGCCGGCTAACTTGACTAAATGCCCAAGCTGTAATAAAAACTCAGAACACACTCTGTTTAGTGGGATGCTTTCACAATGTAACCAGAAACTTGAAGAAAAAAAATACAACGCAATTGGAAATGAAATGGAATGGAGTTTAACGTCCTACTGTTCTGCTCCTAACCTGGGCTAATGAAGACGGGAACGCAATTGGAATGAAGTCAATAAAAATTGAGTATAATAGCGAATTAATCACAGAAGCTGACATCCATAGCTAGTTTTATACGAGGTAAAATTTAACAAAACTCCAAGAAAGTCATAAAACATAATACATTAGAGGATTACATTGAAGATTTGGTCTCGACTTTCACGAATTACCGCAATTTGATCGAGATGATGGCAGTTTCCATATTATTCACACGCTACCCTTCTCAACTGGCACGATTTAAGTGCGTCAATGATATATTAATGTTAGTAGAATTACTGGTATAATTTACGAGGGGATATAGAAACTTGGTTCTTTCAGACAAGCTTTCAGACATCGTACTGCTGGAGGTCTCTGCTCACAAACAATTTAAGCACCGTTTAACGTAGTTACCAGTTTGAAAATACGTTCAGTTGTGCTTGGCTACAGAGATTTCGCCAACACAATAATCGGTTTAAGTCATTCAATACACTTCGTGATTTTTTGCATCTTTGCTCAATGACTCTTTTTATATAATAATTGAAACCACTTTTCATTCGGGGTTACTTCGAGATTTCCTTAATTGAAAATTACTTGACTACTCCGGTGGTGGAACACGTGTCCCATTGACGTGTATAAGTTCTGTTAAAGTTATTTTTCTGGCCTTGTCAAGTGTGTATTGTATATACTAGAATGGCAAGGTGGGATGTTTTGGAGTTTATAAGCATCTAAGGGAAGAAAGCCCAGAAATAGATTCGTAGTATTTGGTACCTTGCACCAAGAGCAATGATTAAAAAATAACATTCAAGTCTCTGCCGGATTTGGGTAAAGAGAGACCCTCACCCACCCTCTGAACTAGAAGTAGACGAAGGTGTGTTTTAAATACAACAAGCAAAGCAGAGATGATGTATGTTTAAAACCACAGTGCATGTAAGATAGGCTTAATGGAAGTGTCTTGAGGCCGTATGCTTCAGCCTGTCATGTAAAATACATTAAGGAAAGAATCACCTAAATGAACCAGGTTTCTAGTATACATTGCATAATATAAACAATTTTATTTTTGTCTATTGAATGGAGACTGTGTTCTGGCTCTCGAGCTACCAGATTATTTCTACTACTTGTGACGCGAATATCATATCATTTAAGTCGGAGTTGTTTCCGCTTTCCAAAAATATAAAGTT